CCCTTCTTGACCTATTTGGATCTTCTTGGTCGTCATCAGACTCTCCATCAATATACCCATCTCGCTCATCCTCCACTATCATATTGTGTAATATGATGCAAGGCATCATGATGGAGTCCAAATTTTCTCGACTCCACCCTTTTACTGGTTTGCTAATGATCTTCCACTATGCTTGTAGAATACCGAAAGCTCTCTCAACATATTTCTGGTATGCCTCTTGATGTAAGGTAAACAACTTTTCCGCGTCATTCCTAGGGTTTATAATTGCTTGGACAAGTGTCGCCCACTTTTGGTAGATGCCATCTGCCAAGTAATACCCCATATTGTATTAACGGTCGTTGATGTCGTAATCAAGTTAAGGTGTTTTACCTTTCGTTAGGTGATTAAAGAGGGTTGAGGGCCCAAGAACAATAATGTCATTTTGGGATCCAGGGACGCCAAAGAAAGCATGCCAGATCCATGTGTCATATGAGGCAACCGCCTCTAACACAACAGTTGGCTTTCTCGACCTTTCGCTAAAGCCTCATTACCATCCGGTGGGACAGTTCTTCCAATCCTAATGTATGCAGTCTAATGACCCTATCATGCCCGGAAACCCACGGTCTTCAGCTCTATTCAGATCTTCTTGATTTGGCTCGCGGAGGTACTCGTCTTTGTAAACCTGAACAATTATGTCACAGAATTGTTCAAGAGTATCAAGGCATGTAGACTTAGACATACCATGGGTTTCATCCATCGAATCAGCTGGCGAGCCATAGGCCATCATTCGGAGGGCAACAGTAACCTTCTGATGAGGTGAAATCAGGGTGGCCTGCTCTGTCCCACTTCTGTTGAAAGTATGGATTGACCTGCTGGACATCACGAAGTAAACGCTTGAAGACATAACGCCTCATCCGGAAGTGAAGTTTGAAATCCTCTTATGTGTACAACGAGTTGGAGTTGAAGTAGTTGTTCATTAGATTGGTATATGTCATCGTTTTTCTTCGTGGTTTGTAAGAGTGACCAACAATAGAGTCACTCTAATAAGGTTATTCCTCAATTGGTTGACACACCATGGCCGCAGCCATGGCTGCTACTCAGTTTTGTTTGTTGCGCCTTACTTGAAGTTCTTCATCAGACTCCTCATCTTATCGTCTTATTTGCACCCATTTTTCTTCCAATTTGGAATTGGATGAGGACCCCCAGTTGGAATCCGAAGAGGATCCAAAGTTGGAATTCATTGCAAACTTGAATTGAAATAGATTGAATTCGAAGTTGTGTGAATTATAGCCCCATATCCACTCTATTTATAGCAAAAAAAAAAAATTCAAATCCAGCAGCTAGCTAACGTCAACATGATGTCAGCTACCAACGGCTAGTTAACGTCATGCTGACATCACTTAGCCGTTGGATATGAATTTAAGTGGTAGTTTTTAAATAATAAATTATGTTTGGCCCTCGGTTGGCGACAATTTTTTGTGACAGGGCCAAAACGTGCCATATGGCCCTTTGGCCCTCGATTGGAGATGGAGGCAAATATGACCCTGTATTGTTCATTAAAATATTGATATCTTGGAGGGCTAGAGGGCTAAAACAAGCCCTCTGGCCAGCCATCAGTTGGGAGATGGCTTTACACCCCACAACCCACTTTCAGCCCAAATTAATGCATAAACCCAACCCCAAATCCTATGCCTATTGCTATAAATAAGGTAAAATCAAAGGGCAAACTTGTGACTGTAGCTAAGCTATAGTCAAATACCTCATCAATTTTAGAATAGATAATGTGTAAAAGAAAAAAAAAAGTGTGTTTATCATTTCCCTTTAGTAATATACTGAAAAACTAAAAGTGGTTCCATAACATAAAATGACACAAGAACATAAAGTGCACTAAGTCCAGTTCTACTAGTTGCCATCAGCTTTGATTTTATAGGTATATCACTAACAAAATTATCGTAAAACATTTTCCCTACAAATTCTTTACACTTACATTATTGTACTGAAACCGTTCTTTGTTGCCTGAAACCATTTAAGCCTTGCTATGTACTAGAGATTGGCTTTTTGGCAAATAAGGTAAATTTTATATTATCATTTTTTTCCTTTTATGTTTAGCTTTAGAGAAAGATGGTGCTAACTTGGAAGAATTCACTGAAGAAATTTTTGACATGAGCCTTAACGAAAACTCGGGACATTGCTCCAATAGCATTAGTCTTGATTAAGCATGGCATGTATTTTAACTTTCTCTATTTGCATTTTCCTCATATGTAGTCTCATCCGTCAATTTCCTCCTACTGGAACGATGTCACTTATTCTTTTAAAGATATTTTTCCGTGATGTTTAATGATTAGGATGGATTGTGCAAGATTAATGCTTACTTTTATTGTGACAAGCTTCTTACTAATGGAAATTTCACTTGTCAAGGAAATATAGTTCCAATTTAGTCCCTTGCATCATTTTATTACGTCTCTCCTTGCTCTCTAACTAAGTACTTTAAACCATAAAGGTGAATGTTGAAGGCAAAAAAGCAGCAGAGGATGCAATGCAAGAAGAAAGAGAGCCATCGTAGACTCTGTAGTGAGACATTGATTGAGACTTGAGAAAGAGAATTACTGTGTTTTACTTAAACAATTTCCCGATCTATGTTAAGATTCAGAGACACATGTAATTGATAGAAAGTCGAATTCTACTATATAAAAACACAATCATGCTAGTGTCAGGTTAATTCAATCAATTGATATGCATTTTAATTGGCCTATTAATCAACTTGATGTTCAAAATGTGTACCTACATGGTTCTTTGAGTAAGAAAGTTTATATGCGGCAACTGTTGCGCGGAAGCGTCAAATATGAAACCAATAAGTTACAACGGCAAAATATGACAAGACAAATAATCCAAAACACAAGGATTTATATTGGTTCGGCATAAGCCTACATCCAGTTTCGAGACGGCGAGGAAATTCCACTAATATCAAAAGGAGATTACAAATAGAATTTTAACTCTCAAACCCAAATCCCACATACAATCAATAGCTCTCACTCAAACTAAGAAACAAATGGAGAAGAAGAAACACATATCAAAATCCTTCTTTCCCAAAAGCTACACAAGTAGCACCAACATCTTTGATTGAGTGATTACTAACAAAATGGGATTATTACAAATGGTGGGAAGGAGCAGCTCATATTCAAATGGGAGAGCCGAATGCTCTCCCTGGTTTCTCTCATCTGCCGCTCCCCCCTTCCCTCCCACATTCGGCTGCAACCTTTATCCATACAAAAGCAACCAATAAAAAATCCAAAGTAAAGGAATAATCATTCCTTTACAAACATCATCATGACCTTCCTTTTTCTTTTCAACAAACATAATCATTGTGTCTTTACTCATGATGATGTCCACCAAACTTTTCTTTGTTTAATTTACTAGCCGAAAGTGAATGCCAAGTTGGCCACTAATTTGGCCACTATCCAACAATCTCCACCTTGGCCAAATTTCGAAAACATCACAGAGAATCGAATCAACAATCACCATAAGCACCCAAAGTACAAACTAAAGACAACAAGAACTAAATCAAATTCCCCAAACTTTCCGGTACTCATAACAATTTCCACCTCAACTCAAACTGTACCAAAGCCAACGAAAGTAAACATTTCTCTACCGTCTTCTCCAAATTTGCAAACCATAAGTGCCTTGATCAAAACAAAGGTGATTTAAACGAAGAACTGAAATTCTTCAATATCACCAACAAAAGATCAAGCACACCATACCAAAGTTTGACACACAACGAACTCCACCTGCTCACAAACACCATGGTCTTAAACTGCACCAATAGACTCATTCACATAGCATGGCACATTCTCCAAGTCAAAACTGATTTCAAAATTTGGCAACAAGGTTTAACATACCACATAAAAAACCTTTCACCCAAATTCAGATCCTATGAATATCAATATTATGCCCTTCACTCAAGTTTTCCATCATCACATGAGCACCAATAGAATAACCAAATATTTCAAATTCAAATAATCAGTAGGAGATCCAAAACCATACCTCAATTGGAGTCTTCAAGAAAACTAATTGCAGATGATGGAGACCAACAAACTAAATAACAATGGCAAACAAATCCAACCAAATGTCCATAGACCAAACAAAGTTAGAAAGCATATAACTTGCCTTCTACAAGAGGGTTCCACACAAATGTTTTGCAGTGCAAGTGGTGTATCCAATATAGTGTGATGTCTCACTATCCAAACCTTTGCAGAACTCAACAAATTGGCCCTCACAAACTCCTCCAATGTCTCCAGCAACTTGCTTCAAAGGCAACCAATAGGAGTGAAAAAACAACCAAACAATTTCTGCCATTGAAAAAATGCCAAAGAAAAGAAAACTTAGCCTTAGCCTTTCTCCCTTTTCTTCGAGCCAACGACATCATTTGTCATCATGATGTCCTTCTGCCAAAACAAATGCCGAAAGAAAAAGAACCAACATTTTCTTTTCAATTTTCAACTGCTTCTACTTTTTCTCCTTCCCACTCAACTCGTCGACAACAGCCCACAAACACCTCCGGTGCAACGATGACCAACGAAAAACCCACCAAAAGCAGTACACTACAACTGCAGCCGTCGAACACCAACACTTCAACAACATCGACAACAACATTGCAGCAGACACGCTGTTTCCGAAACCATTCTCCAATCTGCGAGCTCAGTGACTGCAGCATAGTCCCTTACTATCCTTCTTCAACGCCACGCATTTTGCAGCCAAACTCTGCATCTCCAATTGACCAAATGCCAAAGTCATTCCTCCTGTCGATTTTTTTCAAAAAAACATATTTCACCGTCATTCGAAGATTTCATAGACATACTAGTACAAAGCCTCCAAGTCGAAACCCAGAGCTCTAATACCACTTGTTGTGTGGAAGCGTCAAATATGAAACCAATAAGTTACAACGGCAAAATATGACAAGACAAATAATCCAAAACACAAGGATTTATACTGGTTCGGCGTAAGCCTACGTCTAGTTCCGAGACGGCGAGGAAATTCCACTAATATCAAAAGGACATTACAAATAGAGTTTTAACTCTCAAACCCAAATCCCACATACAATCAATAGCTCTCGCTCAAACTAAGAAACAAATGGAGAAGAAGAAACACATATCAAAATCCTTCTCTCCCAAAAGCTACACAAGTAGCACCAACATCTTTGATTGAGTGATTACTAACAAAATGGGATTATTACAAATGGTGGGAAGGAGCAGCTCATATTCAAATGGGAGAGCCGAATGCTCTCCCTAGTTTCTCTCATCTGCCGCTCCCCCCTTCCTTCCCACATTCGGCTGCAACCTCTATCCATACAAAAGCAACCAATAAAAAATCCAAAGTAAAGGAATTATCATTCCTTTACAAACATCATCATGACCTTCCTTTTTCTTTTCAAAAAACATAATCATTGTGTCTTTACTCATGATGATGTCCACCAAACTTTTCTTTGTTTAATTTACTAGCCGAAAGTGAATGCCAAGTTGGCCACTAATTTGGCCACTATCCAACAGCAACCCCCTGGTTTATTGATCAACAACGCTCGTTGTAACCATGGGTCGTGGTTGTAGTTGTTTCTTAAGGCAAAGTAGATAGACATAAACATGTTTCGTGACATTCCTAATCTTGTGCATAGTAATAAAGCTCTAAGTGTTCATCAAATCACTCCATGACTTGCATATGCACACAAACCAAATGAAAGAAGGAGGTGGCTAGCACAAGCACTAGGATGCTAAGATTTCTTCCTTACACGATGTGGATGTCACAGTTGGATGAAATGTAAAAAAAAAAAACAATAAATAAATAAATAAATAAAAAGGGTTAACGGGTTGAAACGAGTGACTCATTAACTTAACGGGTTAGGTTCGGGTGACCCGTAAACCTAACCTGTTTACACGTCTAATTGTACACATTTCTCTTTTCTAGGAGAAAAGTCGTGAACTCGTGATCAAGTAGCTGTCTTGCTGTCTTCTACTTTTCAAAAAATGCCTACTTTCTTTCACATCTCCCTGAATTTACTTGATCTGTCTAAATTCAAATACAAGAAAATGGACTACCATTCAACTTAAACCACATATATGTTGAATAGTAGCTCACTACTGGCACTATAAATAATATGCACTGCGATGCAAACACATAATCTAAATGGATGTTGTCGATGCAAATTTTTGTCGTCCTTCACTTTGACGAAAGTGCACCTACAAAACAATCAACAACTTTGATAAAAGATCAAAAGCCTCATGCGCACCCACAATAAGTTGGGGGTTGGGGGGGAGGTTTGGCCAATAGATTTCCAATGCCCAAGTTAGTCACTTTGAAAGGAGTGAGTGTTTGGTGTTTTCTGTGTGAGAAAAACGTACCTAATTTTGGTGGAGAAATAAGGTACTTATAGAGAGGGTGGCCGGCCCTAGGATTGGATTTTTGTTAGAACATTCCCAAGATTTTTAGTAAAGGCTAGCCGACATTCACATCTCCCAGACCCTACGTAAAGCGGGAGCCTTGTGTACTGGGTACGACCTTTTTAATATCTTGGGATAATGGTTGAAAATATCTCAAATAAGATTTTCTCCGGTCACTGGGATGCAGAGACATAGGTATGCATATGTTGTGGCACATAAGATTTTCTCCTGCCAAAGATACAAGACAGCATCGATTTTTTATCGAAATTTGGATAATAACTCCAGCACTATTAACAGGAATAGAAGAACAAGTGCATGTAACCAATGAAAATTTAGATGGTAAAGTAATATTTCGGCTATATAAAACAAAAGTGATTCTGTAAAGCATCTTTTGTAATTATCAGTCGGCTTTGATTTTGAAGGTAAATGACAAACCAAATTATTGTAAAGCATATATGCTTCGTACACAGTTTTAATTCTTACATTATTGTAAAGCAGTTCTCTTTCTCTATTAAATAAGGGGAAAAGTCATGAACTAGTGATCAAGTGCTGTATTTCTGTCTTGTTCAATTGATTTTTCATTTGCAAATCTACTAATCAACGAATTACTTTTTGAAATTCATGATCAAGGGGGTGGCCTAGGCAGTAGGCAAATCAACAAATAAGTCATGCGTAAAACGATTTCTTCAAAACCTTGCCTATTTTCTTTCACGATCTCCCTAAGACATGTGTAAAATAGCAAATAAACTAAAGCATAATTCATTATGTACATTAACAACAATATTGTTGTTTGTAGTAGCATTGATAAGAGGGCCTGAAAACTTCCCATTAACTACTATAACATGCAATCAAAATTCCAATAAAAACAAGTCAAACAGAAAAAATGCTCATACTCCAAACAGAAAAAAACCACACATTTAATAAAATAAATCACACAGATACACACAACCAATGAATTACAAATGTATAAAATAGAATTCCCAATAGGTCTAGAGCCAAACAGAAAAGTAAAAAGGCGTTTGTTCTATCCTTACTCCCAAAACTATCGATTTACCCCATGAACTTTCACTTAGCTTTCGATTACCCCTTTGAGCTTTTCTATTGGAAAATTAAGGACTCAACCTAATTTTTTTAGCCGATATGCCCCCTACCGTTAGTTTTTCATATATTCCATCCATATTTCTGTTAAGTGAGACCATGTGCACAACATGTGAGAGTAGTTAAGTCATTTCACTCTTAAAAATTATTAAAAAATTGAAAATAAATATAAAAAAAAAAACTTTCCCTCTATGTTTTTCCTGCTAATTCCTATCCTCAATTTGATTTTTCCCTCTCATTCCTATGCATAAGAAATGACATATGATGTTATTGTCTTCATAAGTAGCTAAGTTAGTCTTTTTCTTGAAGCATGTACTACCATTTTTATTTTCTCTAACAAATTAATAATTTAACAAATGCACATGGTGTTATTGTCTCCAAAGCAGTGCATTAATATAATAAACGTGTCATAATACTAATAAAAAATGCTCAAGATATTTACATATTTTTCATAATGTCATAATAATCCCAATACAATTCCACAAAATGATCCTTAAGAAGTTGGAAAACATAAGAGATTTTACCATCCATAAGGTATATAACCCATAGAATCTCGATTACAAAATATGGGCATTCCACTTAACCAAACACAAGCAAAATAAGGTTTTAGTTATCAAAACATGAACACAAACATTCTGCTCAAAACACACATGACACGTTGAGATCAACTACACTTTCCATGGCCTTCCTCGTTTGGTTGGAATCTTGTATCTAAACCTTTTTTCATTTCTGATGGCTAAATAAGGTTGAGGGTGTTATGTTTTCCAACATCTTAAGGATCATTTTGTGGAATTGTATTGGGATTATTATGACATTGTGAAAAGTATGTAATTATCTTGAGCATTTTTTTATGAGTATTATGAACATGTTTCTTATATTAATGCACTGCTTTGGAGACAATAATACCATGAGCATTTGTCAAATTATTAATGTGTTAGAGAAAATAAAAATGGTAGTACATGCTTCAAGAAAAAAACTAACTTAGCTACTTATGAAGAAAATAACACCATATGTCATTTCTCATGCATAGGAATGAGATGGAAAAATAAAATTGAGGATAAGAATTAGCGGGAAAAAATAGAGGAAGGTTTTGTTTTTTTATTTATTTTCAATTTTTTAATCATTTTTAAGAGTGAAATGGCTTAACTACCCTCACATGTTGTACACATGATCTCACTTAACAGAAATATGGATGGAATATATGAAAAACGAATGGTAGAGGGCAAATCGGCTAAAAAATTAGTTTGAGTCCTTTTTTCCCATAGAAAATTTCAATAGGGAAATCGAAAGTAAAGTGAAAGTTCAGAGGGTAAATCGACAGTTTACTCTTTTGGAAAAGCACTTACACTGGATGACAGCCCGCGATGAGAGGATCATTTTTACCTCTTGGGTCAAGGTCCAATTCCGGCAGGCTTGGCTAGAAAACCGACGGTCACCATTTATTGGATATGAAATTGAGGAAATTCGGGTACAAATTTGTAGAAACTAACTTAGGGGTTGGAAAGAGGATGGGAAGAGCATCCTGGAGGTATAATTTAAGGGTCGTTGGTGACCTATAGACGACGCCGCTGTTGCTTGAAAGAGATTAGGAAGAGAGAGGATACGGGAAGGAAGAGAGAGATAATGAATGGGAGAGAAAAAGTCGAGGTGATGGCGTCTAATCTGAAATTGGTAGACAAGATAAACAAAACCTGAGCACGGGAGGAAGGCTGCCATTGGTCTAGAGATGGAGATAAACGAGGAGAGATTGGAGGCGGCTAGGCTCTAATTAAGGTCTGGGCTTTTAAGTAAAAGAGACAGGAGATGGAGAAACGAAGAATTTTCACGACTTCATCTCTCAATTGGGAAAAAATTAAAACCACTTAGCTGAGGTACGCACGGGGTAAGTAAATAATTCTAATATCCCCAAATATTATCAAGGCGCCAACAAAAATAAATCAAAAACATCAACCACAGGCCAGATACATGGTGAAATTTAAAAAGGCGGTGAGGTGGTTTTAGTTAATCACCACAAGCACTACATGTGGTGATTTTTGTTTTCAATCACGAGCAGTACATACCTGTTGTAACTTACTCAATTTTAACAACAGGCACGAATATGATTGTAGTTAATTAATCATATCTACCACAGGCCGACTTTGACTGTGATAATTGATTCCTTTCTACCATGGGCTCTTATAACACATGATAGGAATGTTGTGGTAAATATGATGTTGTGTTGTAGTGTCTTTCTGCATTTGAGCTTTAAACTTTGTAATTTCGATGATGTCACTAGAGGCAATAAGCATATCATCTACATAAATCAATAAGTAGACATATGTACCTCCACTTAATTTCCTATGGTACACGCAATGATCGTGATGGCTTCTAGTGTAGTCTTGATTCTTCATAAACTTATCAAACTTTAAATACCATTGCCTGGGTGATTGTTTTAAACCATATAGTGACTTGTTGAGCTTGCAGACTAAACCCTCTTTTGCTTTTTCTTCATACCCTTTAGGTTGCCTTATGTAAATCTTTTCAGACAAATTTCCAAGTAGGAATGCAGTTTTTACATCCAACTGAACTAACTCGAAATCAAATTGTGTCAGTAGCTCAAGCAGAATTCGAATAAATGAGTGTTTCACTCCTAAAGAAAAGATTTCATTATAATATATTCCTTCTTTCTGAGCATATCCTTTAGCCACTAGTCTAGCTATGAACCTCACCAAACTTGCATCATTTATTCCATCCTTCTTTGCATATACCCACTTGCATCCAATTGCCTTTCTTCCCTCAAGCAACTCCATCAATTCCTAGGTTTTATTCTTCTTGAGTGACAACATCTCGTCCATAGCTCTATGTCATTGCTTTGCTTCAGTAAAACTTGTAGGAATATCAACTTCGACTACTGGTAATGTGTATGCCATACATACAACGCAATCTTTGAATCTGACAGGAAGCACAATTTCTCTTTTTCCCTTCTTCTTGGCAATGCACTCTTCTTATGTCTGAACATCATCATTCACAGCTTCTTCATCTTGTCTTTCTTCTTGGTCAACAAATTCTTGTTCTTCATTGTGGACGTCATTCTCGGTGCTTGATTTTTCAGAATTATTTGTCCTTATGGACAACATTCCTATCCTCTTGAAGTTTCATATGGGATTCATTGAACGTTATGTCTCTGTTCACTACTACTTTCTTGAGTTCTATGTTCCACAACCTAAATCCCTTGACACCATTATTGAACCCCAAAAAGATAGCTTTCTTTGCTCTTGGATCCAGTTTGTTTTCTTTCACGTGGTAGTAAGCATCGCAGCAAAAAACCCTTAGTCTTTCATAATCTTGAGCTATTTCCTAACTATAATTCCATTGGAGTCTTACCACTTAGAGCTACAGAAGGTAGATTATTCAAAATATGGCATGCATAATTCAATGCCTCTGCCCAAAATCTTTTATGCAATTTTGCTTGTGAAAGCATACATCTCACCTTTTCCAACAATGTTCAATTCAATCGTTTTGCAATACCATTTTGTTGTGGGGTTTCTCTAACACTAAAGTGACGAGTAATACCTTCCCTTTTCATATCTCGAAGAAGGAATCAAAAGTATATTTGACACGCCCCAATTCCAATGTCCGAGGGACATCGGGATGGCCACGTGTTGGCCGACACCCGATGGTGACGAAAGCCATTTAATGAATGCATATACTGAGAACATGTGAAACATGCATATAAATTTCTCGCATAACTACACAATGTAATATTAAAAAATAATTCTTACAAAATACCATAATAATATTCAACTGCCAACAATGAATATAATGATAATGCTTGACATGTTCAGAGCATACAACTAATCCAGAGTACAAGCGGAAAGTAAGATAGAGAGGTGCTATTACAATAGATGTTAAGCGGAGAGGATGATATGATATCACTGGTAGGGGAAAGCCTCGTAGCTCAAATTGTACGCCTCGTTCCTATGTCCTAAAGGGGCACAAAACAAACATGAGTGGGCCAAGTTGATATATATATATATATATATATATATATATATATATATATATATATATATATATATAATATTGAAACATTTATCAACATACTAACCCCCAAAGTTTAAAGAAAACTCATAACATAATATGTAATAGGTTTCCAAAAACCCTAGCATACCATAAAACCTTCATAAAACATATCTCGTATATAGTGTGCTAACTAGTGGTATCCTAGTCACCCGTGGTGTTCAATAATTATATCTCTCGGCCCGTAGCAAACAACTATGTCTCTCGGCCCAAAGCTAGAGATTATTTCTCCCGGCCTGAAGCCAAAGATTATTTCTCCCAGAACAGTGACCACTAGATGAGCACAAAACATTGAATATACTCTTTCCAAACATAGGTACATATATCTCAAAAACATCTTCATACCATATAGTCATCCATCATATATACTATAAAGAAGTGTGTAAAAATATGTTCATAAATAATATATAGTCATCCATCACAAATACTACAAAGAACATAAGTTCGGTAAAATATGGTATTCCAAAATATTCGCAGTAAAGCATGATATAACAAAAGTGTAAATCTAATTTACTCATACAACGTAACCATTAAATCATGCTTTCCATGTATGCATTTCTACTATTAAAACATGCATTTTAGAAGTGGTCCACTCACAGATACTATGTCATCAAAAAGCCGTACGAAATAGGAATGATGGAATCACCGCTAATAATTGCACCTAAGCACATAAAGGGGTACAATTAACAAAATTATACTCAAACGATTGAATTTCAGGAAACGAAGTCATTAACAAATTCAGGATGTCGAAAAACATATAGGGGGACGTTGAGTACCCCCACGCGCTGTCGTGGGTTACCGAAACAGTTGTCAAAAAATTCTTTAGCGCTGCAGTGGACGGTGGCGCATGTGTTCCACGCTTTAGCCACGCGTGGTTTGGCTGCTGGGTTGGACCAGTTTGGTCCCGAGTTCTCACGGCTCGAAAGCCTGGGGTCCAAGGGTTTTGGGTTTTAGATTAAAGGGCCAAAGGACCTAGTTGAATGGCCCAAGGGCCTCAATCCAAAGGGTTTAGGTTTGGGTTTTAGTGGGCCAAAGACCTAATGTTGATCGTGGCCCGAATGACCTTAACTCAAGGGCTTGGTCTATTTCTCTCTAGGAAAGAAGGATGGGGCCTTTCAAGCTCTGGTCGTCGTCAACACTCACCCCTAGGCTACAAACTAAGTACCAAAATAAAGCTAGAGACGAGAGGGAGTGATTAGGTACCTTTGATTAGTCGTATGGTGGCTAGAATCTAGGTTCAAAGTCTCAGAATTCACCGAACCTAGGTTGGGTGTCCTTTAGGTGTCCCGGAGCTTCACAAAGACAAAGAGAAAAATAGGAGGTCCACGATGGTGGTGGTGGTGATGGTGGTGTTGTCGACGTCGGGATGTCTCGTTGGGTAGGTGTATCAATCAAGAAATGAGGGAGAATGAAAGGGTCTGAGAGAGAGATGAGAGCGAGTGTGCGAGAAAGAGTGAGAGATGGTTAACCAGGGAAGGGGAAAATAAAGAGAAAGTGTGAGTGCTTGCCACGTGGCAGGTAGAGAGAGATGGAAAAGTTGAGGCAAAATCTAATAAGGGGATTCGGATAGGGTAATAGATGGGGGACTAAAATGTAAAATCAATAAATCTCTAGAGAAATTATGAAATTACAACAAGTTTGGGGGTGGGGTTTAACAATATTCCCTGCCATTATCACTTCTTAAGACTTTCAACTTCTTGCCAGTCTTCTTTTCAACCATATTTCCATTCCATGAAAATATTCAACACCTCATGTTTGTGCTTCATCATATAAATCTGTGATCTTCATGAGTAATCATCAATGAATGACATAAACCATCTCTTCCCACCTAGAGATTCATTCTTTGTAGGTCCCCAGACATCCAAGTGTACATAATCCAATATCACCTTAGTTTGATGTATTGTAGTGCCAAATTTTACCTTTGTTTGTTTGCCAAGAACGTAATGTTCAGAAAAATCAATTTTTCCATTTTTTGGCTCCCTTTCGAACCCCTTTTTAATCAACCCTTGGAGCGCTTTGTTTCCCACATGCCTCAACCTTATACACCATAGAGAAGATGAATTAGCTTGATCACCATCTGCCACCATAGCCACCTGTTTTTCCAAGGTTTTGCCCTCCAACAAATAAAGCAAACCTTTTCTAAGAGCCTTCATCATCACTAATGCCCCTCTAGCTACCTTAGAATATTATTCTCAGAATAAAATTTGTAACTTTGAGATTCAAGGGTGCCTAAAGAAATTAAATTCTTCTTGAGGTTTGGGACATACCTTACTCCTTGTAGCTCTCGAATTACACCATCATGATGCTCTATCATAACGTTGCCAATTCCTTGCGTTGAACATGGATTATCGTAAACCATATACACAGTTCCAGTGAGACTTTTGAAAGATAAGAACCAATGACGTTGGGAAGTCATATGATGAGTGCATCCAATGTCAAGCACCCATTTATGCATGTAATCTATGATTTCCGCTGCTGTTAGAGCACATACAAAATTCTCACCATCGATTTCAACAATGTTCGCCTCTGAATCCTCTTGTTTCTTTTCCTTGTTTTTAGCCTTGACTTTAGGACAATTCTTCTTCCAATGTCATTTTTCATGGAAAAAGGTGCACTCATCCTTATCCAAGAATTTTCTGTTGCTTGAGTTACCTCTTGTGTGAGACTTGTTTTTCTTCCTATTCGCAGACGTTTTTTCCTTTGATCTTCCTCTCACCATTAAAGCTTCAGAATTGTTCCTCTCTTGTCTATCAAGATTTCAAACTTCATGATTCATCACCACACTTGAGATTTCATCAAATTTAATAGTTTCTCTAACATAAATCCATGTCGTAAAGAATGATTCATAAGATTCAGGCAAAGAATTCATCAAGATCAAAGCTTTGTCTTCATCTTTGATCGTCTCTTCTAAGTTCAGTAATTCAGCAATCATCTTGTTAAACTCTTCGAGATGATCAATCATCTTTGTTCCTTCCTTATAATGGAAATCATAAAGCTTACACTTTGTTGAGAATATCGCGTTTAAGAATGGTAAAAACAAGAACAATCTTGGGAAATCGAAAAATAAATAACCAAGATAAATAACACCAAGAATTTACGTGGTTCAGCAATATGTGCCTACGTCCACGGGACAACAACAACAATCTTTCACTATATCAATAATGAGTACAACCAATAAT